CAAGGAAAGCCAGTTACGATGCAAGTAGCACAGAATGTTCGACCATAGTCATAAAAAAAAAACAAATTTTTCCAAATTACCTAATTTTTTCCTGCATGGTGTGATGAAAGAATCTCAAAAAAAAAAGAAAAACTAAAGCTTAGGCATAATCTACAGTCATAGTAAAATAGGCATATTGTATAACAATTTTTTTTAGAAAGATGGCCGAAACACAGAAAAAAAACAAAAAATTTCACATAACATGTAGTTGAATTTTTGAAATTCTTGATTCCAAAGACGCGCTTAAAACTCAAAAAAAACTAACTTTTCACATATAAAAGTATCTTTTCACGGCATAAATAAAGCATTGTAAGCTATGAACTTGAGCTATTGTAAGCCTGCCAGCTCACTTTATTCCCACGAATTTAGACTAAAAATCAAAAAATTTAAGCCTATTTTTCTCGATGCTGGTTACAACTTTTAGAATAGCAAATTGCTGTCCAAGTAGCACAGAATCTTCCGCACATAGTGTTGAAAAACACAAAAAAAATCAAATTAGTCTTGTTTTTTAGCGTGGTGGGCTAGAAGAATCTCAAAAAAGGAACGGAAAACTAGAGCCTAGGCATATTCGACAGTCATAGAAAAAATAGAAAAATGGCCAGAAAAACAAAAATAAAAAAAATGCATAAAAGTTTTCTAGCTACTGTAAGCCTCCTCGCTCGTTTTATTCGCACGAAATTCAACTTAAAATAAAAAGTCTCTAACCTATTTTTCTCGATACTGGTACAAATTTTGAATAGCCGAATACTGTCCAAGTAGCACAGGATGTTCCGATCATAATCTTTTAAAAAAACAGTCTTATTATTAGCGCGGTGTCAAATAATGATTTGGGCAAAAACTAAAATTTGAGCATAATAGACATTCATAGGACAATGGTCAAAAAAAAAACTTTGGAGAAAAATTACTTCAAAAAAATCATGAAACGAAAAATATTCGCTCAATATTAGACCAAAAATCAAAAATTTCAAACTAGTTTTTCGACCGAAAATTGTTTTAATTTTTCTAAGTCCTCAAATCACGATTGAAAGGCTTTTAACATGATATATCGTTCGACACATTCCGGCGATTAATAGTGGTACCTAACTTTGAGAGGAAAACAAAAATAAAACAAAAACTTAACACACCCGAATAAAAACGCCAAAAAATCAGAGTGAAACTAAAATTAGACAAATAAACTATTTTAAAAGATCTAAACTTAGAATAAATAAAGATGCTCGCTCGCTTCAACCGCTAGAACAAAAAATCAAAAAATTTCACCTGTTTTTCTCAATGTCTCAATGCTGGGACTATTTTCTCAAATTTTTTCAACTCTGTTCGAATCACGACTGAAAGGTTTTTATATGATGAATCGCTCGACCCATTCCGATGATTACTTGTGGTACATGGAAAACGTAAAAAAGGATAGCTGGTCACGGTGCACAGTAAATAGCACAGAATGTTCCGACCTGGTTACGGTGCACAGTAAAAAATCACAATGTTCCGAACATAGTCATAAAAAAAACAACAAAAATTTTTTCAATTTAATCTCATTTTTCCGGCGTGGTGTGATATGAAAGATTTCAGAAAAAAAGCAAAAAGCTAGAGCTTAGGCATATTTGACAGTAATAGAAAAAACGTAGCCAATCGAAGATTTTTAAAAAAAGTAATGATAGCAAGTAAACAAAAAAAACACTGACTTTTTTAAAAAACTTGAATTTCGAAATTCAGAGAAAAAAGTAGATGCCCTTTAAGCTCTTTGAATTTCTAGAATAGTTTATGGTTGCCGTCTTTTCGATAACATGAACCATACTAGAGAAAACTGGATCATTGATAAAATTTTTATTCTGCTGGAAATTTAAAAATCAAATTCCACTTTTGAAACTAGAAACCGTTCAGGTTTTTCTGCGCTATTTCCAAATTCGTATTTGGGTGGGGCTATTTATGTCACTTTCAGCAGATGAATTTCAATTGAGCTCGAAAAGTGCATATAGACCTCAGAACATTCATAAAAGCATCAACATGTTTGAATGTACATCAGTAGTTTATAGAGATTTTTAAGACTTTTCCTGAAAAAACAACAAAAAAAATCAGCAAGAATTATATACGAGTCTTCACTACGTTCATTACTCTTAATAGTATAAAAAAAATTCTAGAAAATTCAAAGAAAAATGCACAACGTTTTTCAAAACTATTTGGCTGTTTGATCTTTCCGAAATTCTTGAATCTAAAAAGCGCTCACAAGTAGGTTTTCGCGGAGTAAAACAAGGTTTTTGCGGCATAAATTAAGATTTTGTAAGCTATTAAGCTATGAAAATCAGCTTTTGTAAGCCTCCTCGCTCCCATTATACGCACGATTTAAGACTAAAAAAAATAAAAAACTTTAAACCTGTTTTACTCGATATTGCTACAAGGTTTGAATAGCCGAATACTGTGCAAGTAGCACAGTATATTCCGACCATAGTCTTAAAAAGACGAAAAAAATTCAAAGTTTTGCTTTTTAGCGTGGAGTGATAAAAAGAGCTGAACAAAAACTAGAACATAAGCATATTGGACAGTCAAAAAACAATAGACAAATTGAAGAACAGTTTATGTAGAAAAATAACTAAGAAAAAAAAACAAAAAAGTCGTAAATAAAAAAAAGTTCTTTTTGCTTAAAATTGAAAATCTGATTCCCAAAATGGCAATAAAAAACTCCGTAAAACTACTTTTACTTGAGTAAAATTAAAATTAAACACAAACGGGCTATTGCCAAGGGCTTAAATTAGGCATAAAAAGCCTTCTTGCTCGCTTTATTGCCTCAATATTAGAGCAAAAACGAAAAACTTAAACGAGTTTTTTTCGACAGCAACTTTTTCATTTTTGTAAAATCTTTCAAATCACGATTGAAAAGGCTTCAACTTGATTATAGCTAGATTCATTCCGGTGATTATTTGTGAAACCTGGTTTTGAGAGGCAACAAAACAACAAGGAAAGCCGGATACGGTGCAAGTAGCACAGAATGTTCGACCAAAATCATGAAAAAAATTTTTTTTCCAAATTACCTAATTTTTTCCTGCAGTGTGTGATGAAAGAATCTCAAAAAAGAACGAAAAACTAAAGCTTAGGCATAATCTACAGTCATTGTAAAATAGGCATATTGTATAACAATTTTTTTAGAAAGATGGCCCAAACACAGAAAAAAAAAAAAAAATTTAACATAACATGTAGTTGAACTTTTGAAATTCTTGATTCCAAAGACGCGCTTAAAACTCAAAAAAAACTAACTTTTCATATAAAAAAGTATCTTTTCACGGCAAAAATAAAGCATTGTAAGCTATTAAGCTATGAACTTGAGCTACTGTAAGCCTGCCAGCTCACTTTATTCCCACGAATTTAGACTAAAAATCAAAAAATGTAGCCTGTTTTTCTCGATGCTGGTTACAAGTTTTAGAAGAGCAAATTGCTGTCCAAGTAGCACAGAATCTTCCGCACATAGCTTTGAAAAACACAAAAAAAATCAAATTAGCCTTGTTTTTTAGTGTGGTGTGATAAAATAAGCTCAAAAAAGGAACGGAAAACTAGAGCCTAGGCATATTCGACAGTCATAGTAAAAATAGAAAAATGGCCAGAAAAACAAAAGTAAAAAAAAATCACAGAAGTTTTCTAGCTACTGTAAGCCTACTCGCTCGTTTTATTCTTACAAAATTCAACTTAAAATAAAAAATATCTAACCTATTTTTCTCGACACTGGTACAAATTTTGAATAGCCGAATACTGTCCAAGTAGCACATGATGTTTCGACCAATCTTTTTAAAAAAATAGTCTTATTCTTAGCGCGGTGTCAAATAATGATTTAAAAAAAAACTAAAACTTGAGCATATTCGACATTGATAGGACAATGGTCAAATTAAAAAACAATTTTGGAGAAAAATTACTTCAAAAAAATCATGAATCGAATAATATTCGCTCAATATTAGACCAAAAATTTCAAACTAGTTTTTCGACCGAAAATTGCTTTAATTTTTTTAAGTCTTCAAATTACGATTGAAAGGCTTTTACCATGATATATCGTTCGACACATTCCGGCGATTAATAGTGGTACCTAATTTTGAGAGGAAAACAAAAATAAAACAAAAACTAAAAACACCCGAATACAAAATTCCTCCCCATATTCAATGGTGGAAAAAAATCTCAAGGAACTTTCACAGCAGGTGAATTTCTCTCTTCATTTGAGCTCAGATCTGAACATGAACATGTAAAACTACTCCATCACTTTCTTCTAAGGTCGAAACAAGGATAATTCAGTCAACGAACATTCAAAACGAAAATGAACATTAAATCTTCGGAACCAAAAAAATGTAACATTGCCAGCAGTAGAAAACTGGTGATTCTACCCCAGCCATCAACCTGTTTTACAATGAACTGTGTAAATGAACCTAGGAGAACCGTTATTTGCCGCTAGCGATACAACACATGCATATTGTTAGACGCTAGAAAATATTCATCTCAGTTGTATTCGTTAACTCACGACCAAGTGCGCCGGAGATGCAAAAAAAATTTGAATTCATTATGTACTGAACCTAAAATAAACATTTCTAATTTTGACCTGAAAAAGTTATTTACGGTATAAAAAGTCTTGAACTCGATTGCCATACCTTTGCTTAACACATTGGGTCAAAAAAAGTCGGAAGAAAACCTGGGAAAAACAGACAGTTGAAAAAGAGTCAAGGAAATAAGTGTCTTCACTTAGTTCACTAAAAACTAATCAGCTTAAAAAACGAATTTAAAGCACAATTCGACGTCTTGTTCTCCTGGTCGGCAAAACCTTCTTCTTCAAACAAATTCTTTATTTTGGTTAATTCAATGGGTAAACCGCTCTCGCTAAATAAACATTACTCTTAAAAACGGTTAAAATCGATGGTCAGTTTAGATCGTAGCATGGATGAGCTGACTTCCGCCAAAAATTAAAACGAAGATACATTATGCTTTTCAATGCAACATACCCTTCGTTGGATTCGCAGTGGAATCCACTTCCATTACAACCACTTCCAGGAGCACTATTTGGAATGGTTATCCTCGTCTCCGTGCTTTTCTTGATCTCAGCCAGGTTTGAACCTCCGCGACCTATCAGCCTACCAATCAATTGGTCATGTGTTAGAATTTTAACTGTCAACGGCACTCGAAATTCAGTCATCGTTCCAAACTCAACTGGCGAAGCTGTTGACTTCGTAAAAGCAGATTTCTTTGTTTCACAGAAAAAAAAACAGAAAAAACAAAAAAATTCACACAACATGTAGTTGAACTTTTGAAATTCTTGATTCCAAAGACGCGCTTAAAACTCAAAAAAACTAACTTTTCACATATAAAAGTATCTTTTCACGGCATAAATAAAGCATTGTAAGCTATTAAGCTATGAACTTGAGCTACTGTAAGCCTGCCAGCTCACTTTATTCCAACGAATTTAGACTAAAAATCAAAAAATTTAAGCCTGTTTTTCTCGATGCTGGTTACAACTTTTAGAATAGCAAATTGCTGTCCAAGTAGCACAGAATCTTCCGAACATAGTGTTGAAAAACACAAAAAAAATCAAATTTGTCTTGTTTTTTAGCGTGTTGTGATAAAAGAATCTCAAAAAAGGAAGGAAAACTAGAACCTAGGCATATTCGACAGTCATAGTAAAAATAGAAAAATGGCCAGAAAAACAAAAATGAAAAAAATTCACAAAAGTTTTCTAGCGACTGTAAGCCTACTCACTCGTTTTATTCGCACGAAATTCAACTTAAAATAAAAAATCTCTAACCTATTTTTCTCGATACTGGTACAAATTTTGAATAGCCGAATACTGTCCAAGTAGCACAGGATGTTCCGACCATAATCTTTTTAAAAAATAGTTTTATTATTAGCGCGGTGTCATGTAATGATTTGAACAAAAACTAAAACTTGAGCATATTCGACATTCATATGACAATGGTCAAATTAAAAAACAATTTTGGAGAAAAATTACTTCAAAAAAAATCATGAATCGAAAAATATTCGCTCAATATTAGACCAAAAATTTCAAACTAGTTTTTCGACCGAAAATTGCTTTAATTTTTTTAAGTCTTCAAATTACGATTGAAAGGCTTTTACCATGATATATCGTTCGACACATTCCGGCGATTAATAGTGGTACCTAATTTTGAGAGGAAAACAAAAATAAAACAAAAACTAAAAACACCCGAATACAAAATTCCTCCCCATATTCAATGGTGGAAAAAAATCTCAAGGAACTTTCACAGCAGGTGAATTTCTCTCTTCATTTGAGCTCAGATCTGAACATGAACATGTAAAACTACTCCATCACTTTCTTCTAAGGTCGAAACAAGGATAATTCAGTCAACGAACATTCAAAACGAAAATGAACATTAAATCTTCGGAACCAAAAAAATGTAACATTGCCAGCAGTAGAAAACTGGTGATTCTACCCCAGCCATCAACCTGTTTTACAATGAACTGTGTAAATGAACCTAGGAGAACCGTTATTTGCCGCTAGCGATACAACACATGCATATTGATGGACGCTAGAAAGTAGGACGAAAGCCGCGAAGTCGATAGAATTAAAGTAAGAAGTGTAAAAAATTAGGCCTAAGAACACTTTTTACATTTGTCTTAATGGTATTGAAGGAAGCTAACTTTGAGAAAAGTATCAAAACCGACTACTATCAGCATTAAATTAGAATTGATACCAAATTTGGGCAGTGATAAAAAAACATGGCTTAAAAATTTCAAAACTCAAACTTCCAAGTCTTCCTTCTCAAAGCACAGCGAAACACTGACCAAAATCTGATCCAACTACGCGATAAGAGTCGCGAAGCCGCTTTTACATAAACCGAATCCTTTCACGTCAAAAAAACTTGAAAAATCAGTAGAAAAATAAACGATTTCTGCATAATCGGAGTTGGTTACCCAGAGGCGAAGATTTGCGAAAAAACATAAGCATAACACTGCAACTATCGAATTGACAAAAAACGGAAATCACTTGTTCGACAAAATAAATTTTACCCAGAGGCGAAGCAGAGCTTCACAATACTTGCGCTTTAAAATTAAAAACAAATTTTGAATTTTTTGGAAAAACGTACGAAATACGGAAGTGAAATAATTGAATAAATTCTGTCGAAGAAATTATCAGCTGAAAATTAGACGTAAGATATAAGAAGAAATCTTGCTCCACAAACTACATTCAATTCTTTCTCATAACAAACAGATGAAAATGAGCAGAAGTGAATTTATGGTCAAAAAAATCATATTCCAAAAACTCACGATCCAGAAGTAATTTTGCTAAAAATTTTGAAATCCAGTAAATCGCATGACCATTAGGAACATAAGGAGTTATCAAAAAGCACTCGCGAAGCGGAACTTTGCACCACTAGATGCGAAGCGGAACTTTGCACCACTAGATGCCGCATAAAAATTGCTTGGCGAGCTAGCAAAAAAAAAACATTGGAAAGCCACTAGAAACATTGGAGAGCCACTAAGTCTATTGAAAATATTACAACAAATATAACTAAAAAATTTTCAAAATATTGTCTGGAATTATGTTCTTTTTGCGAATTCACTTCGTGAAACACAATTGACAGCGTTGTATGAAACATTTTCTATATGATAACTCAATTCGAAGATTTCTAGCAATTTGTACGATCCAGAGGGGAGCATAAAAAGTATGTCGCCTTCAAATGACTCGAAATTATGTGCCATTCTGCCAGATGGCACAGCGCAACCTTCCGGCGACACGAAATAAAATGAATAAAGGCTTTAGGAACGAAAAAGTATTGCGAAGGAGGGTAGGGATATTCTAGAATTCTTATTTTTAAAATTTCGATTGAATTGTGGATATTTCTCAGAAATACAAAAAAGACGGCCATTTTGACGAAAAACGACGAAAAAACAGAACAACGACAAATATTGTGGAAAACGGTCGCACAAGAGACGAAAAATACGAAGCCTCTTATCGTGGAAACCACACACGATAAGACTCTTAGCAGTGGAAATTGGTGGAGAAGGAAGCTTCGGTGGGGAAGGAATATTCCACGGAACCCTCCCGTGCCACAAATTGGGAGAGATAAGAACGTTATCTCAGGAAGATTACGGGAGCGGAGGCTTGGTCCCCCAGAGACTGTTTTATGTGAAGGGACTATATAAAACTAACTTTGTAGCTACTTGGATGTCGTAGAAGTCTGAATTAACACCGGTATTATTTGATATTTTAGAATATGAGTAGCTAGAAAGAGGAAAGGGTCAATCCATCTCCAATGGATTTAATATAGAACTGTCACACAAAAACATATTAAAATAGGTTGTTCGAGCCGTGTTTTTAATGGCAATCACGTAGTCTGAGGATCCGAGACTCAGCTATGTGGTTGTGTTCGCATGTAAACGAAAGCTGATCAAAAGTCGTTTGACTGATGGCCTAAAAATAGTAACTTTTTACTTAGCCCTAAACAGACCAGAAAATCAACTGGCAAGGTCGAGACGGTGAAAAACGAGTAGAATTAAGGTAAATGACGCCTGCCAGTCGTTAATAGGTACTTTTTCTACGCTCCGTCGCTGTGTAGTATTTGGGCGAATGTTACATTAGGTCGACAACCCGATAGAATAAAAACCGAAGTCATTTGGGGCTAATGCACTTTTCAAGTGAAAGAACAAAACAAACGAAATCAAGGTTAGTAAAATTACATATTGCAGGAGTAAAGAAAAAATTAAAAGCAACAACAATGAAAACAGCACACAGAAAAAAAATCTAAGATGAGGCAAGCGCAAAACATAAGCAGACATATAATAGTTCGACAAATTTTTTGAAAAAGATTATTTCCCCGTTTGAAACAAAAAACAGATCTGGCCAGATTCGAACCCAGTCATATTCATCTCAGTTGTATTCGTTAACTCACGACCAAGTGCGCCGGAGATGCAAAAAAAATTGAATTCATTATGAACTGAACCTAAAATAAACATTTCTAATTTTGACCTGAAAAAGTTATTTACGGTATAAAAAGTCTTGAACTCGATTGCCATACCTTTGCTTAACACATTTGGTTAAAAAAAGTCGGAAGAAAGCCTGGGAAAAACAGGCAGTTGAAAAAGAGTCAAGGAAATAAGTGTCTTCACTTAGTTCACTAAAAACTAATCAGCTTAAAAAACGAATTTAAAGCACAATTCGACGTCTTGTTCTCCTGGTCGGCAAAACCTTCTTCTTCAAACAAATTCTTTATTTTGGTTAATTCAATGGGTAAACCGCTCTCGCTAAATAAACATTACTCTTAAAAACGGTTAAAATTGATGGTCAGTTTAGATCGTAGCAGGGATGAGCTGACTTCCGCAAAAAATTAAAACGAAGATACATTATGCTTTTCAATGCAACATACCCTTCGTTGGATTCGCAGTGGAATCCACTTCCATTACAACCACTTCCAGGAGCACTATTTGGAATGGTTATCCTCGTCTCCGTGCTTTTCTTGATCTCAGCCAGGTTTGAACCTCCGCGACCTATCAGCCTACCAATCAAGTGGTCATGTGTTAGAATTTTAACTGTCAGCGGCACTCGAAATTCAGTCATCGTTCCAAACTCAACTGGCGAAGCTGTTGACTTCGTAGAAGCAGAACTCTTTGTTTCTTTTGGCACTTCTTGGCTTTGTAGCTCGCTGGAACCGTTTTCGGATGATTCTGATTTGATCCCTGAGTCTAAGGAAGGCGAGTTAGATGATCTGTGATCTTGCGATGCAGCTTCGTTGCTGGTCGCGGCAAGAGAATCCGATATGACATCTGGAATTTGGAGGTTATTTGCTTGACTTTGAATTGCGCCTGTTTCTGCATTTCCATTGCTAAGGCACTCTGAGGGCTCTTCGTCATGAGTTCCGTTTACTAAGGAGTGGGATCCGTTTTCAGCGTGACCATTTAGGACATTTGCACTGCTGCTTTTAACACATGTGTTTGACTTCGTTGTTAGCTCTTCTTTACTGCACCACCTCGAAACGATCAAGTCGTCCAAGAACTTTAGTATTTTATCCATTGCTGATATCTGTGATTCCGCACTTCCCAGAACTGTCACTGGCTAAACAGCAACATTGAGTCGAATAAAATGTCGGTTTCAAAAGTGCAGAAGCCATGATAATGATATTAAACCAACAGAAAAGAAGTTATCATAATCTTACATTCACCGGACAAATACTGAAACAGTAACAGTAATGCGTAGAATATTGACATTCGACGTCTTCTGAAAATCGCAAATCGCTGATGAGAACTTAACATCGGCAATGAACACCTTACCTTTTCATCAGGAAATCGTTCATCTTTCTGCTGAACGTCCACTCTAAAATATACAAAAAAAAATATTTCAAATTCTTAGAATGGCAACAGAGCTGATTGATAGCTAGTTTGGGCTCGCACTTTTTACTTTGCTGATAAATTCTATGGCGCAACGAATGTTTTTAAAATTTAAATATGAAGAACAAATATAGCTGTAATGGCATAATTAGTCAACATGCCATTTTTGATAACATATGGACATCGTGCGCTTAACCTTTACAAGAAAAAAATGAGAGATGAAAAAAGGGTGAATCAATTTATGAGACTAGTGAGCCACTTACATGATGTATCTAGCTCCAGACTCAATTTGGAATTTCTTGATTGTGGCTCCATTCACTCCAATTATGCCACCAATCATGTGAGTCGGCACCAAGAATCTGAAACTCAATGTAGTAACTTATCAATCAATTGACAATGTAGGTTGCTGATCAGATTGGGCAAAAACTTTCAACGTATTCCTCGTTGCTTGTCAAATCGCTATGCTATTCAATCAGAAGATAGCTCCATAGAAAATGTCGACCATGTTAGTATTAGAGCGTAGATCAGTGGCGAATTGACGGTACTTCTCCCATTCACAGAAAACCGCAATTAAGACCTACATGCCTTTTTAATGTTTTTTTTTTGTGGGCTAAGTAATGTTGCCTCAACCTCAATCAAGGAGCAAGGATCATGGCGAGCCTCGAACCACCGACCTCTTTTCTGAGAGGCGAAGACTTGGCCACTTCACCGCTGCTCCCTGACCCTGAGTAGAAACTTCGATATGATGAAAGTAAAGACTGAGCAGTGCTCACCGGAAAGGATAGACGGGCGAGTTGGGTGCAGCGTGGGAGATGTCGCTAACAGAGTTGCTCCTGTACTTGTACCTGCCTCCGTGGTTCTCGGCAAAAGGCACCACCTTCAGAGTAGCATCTCCATACACTACCCCGGTCACACTGTTCAACACTCTAAGCAAACTACATCACTCACATAAGGTTAATACTCTGTGCGGAAGGAAACGACCAAAATAAAGCTCAACGAAGAAATTTATCAAAGTTGATTGAAATAACATTGAACTTTAGTTTTTTAAGGCTGCTGACTGACACCGTTATTATCTGGGTTAATAATGCTGCATAGCATCCATCAAAAGACAAGGATAACGCTGCGCTTACAATCACCAATTTGAGGTGAACGCTCAAGTCACTTCAGCGTTGCTATCCTAATCTAAGACACCACCAACAAACTTCATTTCTGAAATAATCTCCCTCAAAAGTAAACTAGTACCTATATTGGATGCGAAATTTGCAGCGCTACGATTGTAGCTTCGAATAAAACTTCCGAAGTAACGGAAATTTGAAATGAGTCATATCCTTTAATATTCTTTCGTAAAGCTCACCTCTTACAATACAGTTCAGCCCGTATAAAAATAAACATGCAACCCTTTTTTGATCTTGACTGACGCCTCTTTTACCCAAATTTAACACTAATCTAGCAGAAAATTCCATCAAATCCTGAGTTTTAAGGAAAATTATCTCTAATGTGCTTGATAACGTAGCTCGCCGAAACACTACTAACATTTGCGCCTCTTCTGGAGTATTAAGATGTACAATGTATGATGCTTTGGAGAGTGTCTTGTTGTTCGCCCTGTCACACTGTTTGACGTTGATAGTCCCATTGGAGACATCGCTGAGAAAGGCCTTCACATCTTGTAGAGACAGGGAATCCGGCAAATTGTGAACCACCACTTTGTTATTATTCACCCTACATCAAACAAAAAACAATGCTATTACGCTGCCCTAAGTATGAACTCCAGATTACACGTCAATGCCTAAGCAATGCCACACACCGCCTTGCTCTTCTATGCAATTACCAAATGATTTGCTGACAAATACCAAGCCACATTGAATGTGCCCAAATTAAACCAACATAATCCATTACATTGTAATTAGGTCAAAATAACTACTTCGCCAACAGAATATATACAAATACTTCGCCAACAGAATATATACCCCCCCCCCCACACACACACACACACACACACACACACTATGTAAAACACAGAACAGATGTTTTTAGAGTCTCGTATCGTATAACTAAGACAAAATTGCTTGCCCATCTCACTCAATTTGAAACGATTTAATTCCTTGCTTACGCGTGTTATTAGAAAGCAACATAGAGCTCGTTAAAGATTGACACAGAGGCGAAGCGCAAGAACGCGACAAAAAAAGCAGATTTCAAAAAGAAAAATAAGAAAAAACTAGAAATAAGCCTCGAATTGTTAAACTTTGCTATGTATCGGAATGGAACCTGCGACCTCGTGATTTGCAGTCTCACGCTCTGCCCGCTCGTCCACGAACGCTTAACAGCCAACAAAACACTAGTCAAGAATAAAGCAGCTATATATTCTAATGAATTGCCAATGCGATGCAGCAAAAAAAGGCACCAAATTTAAATGGACACAATTTGTCATGAATAATTTGGAATATAACTGAAGTAGGTATATAGCTGAAGTCATCCACGCTAACTTTGCATGAAATAAATTCGAAAGCATGAAGCCATTTTGTATAATTTAAGCATTTCAAAAATTTTGCGAAATATATTGAACCGGAAAATTTCTTGAAATCGAGTTTTGAGTTATTGTATTGATATTTGAAGCAAATGGTTTTTTTTCGGCTCATTGGAACAATCAGAAATGCATCAACTGTGTATACTTATTAATAATCAAAAATCAAAGCACATACTATCAAAAAACTGTGAAGAAGCCCCAAAAGTGGTACCAATATTTACGACTTTGGGTAGAAAAAGAATAGTCGTACTATTACATTCCGCTCACTAAAGTTTGCGAGTGTTAAAATTGTCCAAATAAGCAAGTTTCAAAACCTCATTCGTGATGGCAGGTACAAAATTTTGAAGTGACCTCAGGACAACGATATTTTTCAGATGGTATAAAATTGTCAAAAACGCTCAGTTTAAAAGCCAAAATTTGATTGACTGAAAAAAATTGGAACAAAAAGTTTTGCTTGTGTACGGCAACTTGTAAGTTACATAAGAAAAAATGGTCTGGTAAAAAAACACTGCGAGCTTGCTCGTGTCAAAAAAATCTTAAACTGAACATTTGTGCGCGAATGTTTTTTCTCCAGACGAATTTCGACTTTTTAACTAGTAATTTTTCACGGATATTTTTTCGATTATGTTTTGAAGGCTAAGAAAAATTGCCAATTTGGGATAAAAACGCATGATATACTGAGTTCTTATAAAGAGCTTAAGCGGCAGATTAAATCGTTCTAAATTGATTTGAACCGAGCCATTCCTTGTAATTATTGTTCCGCTTTGGTCTTACCAAAAGGGGGAAATTATGAAAACATTTGGCAACCAGAGTTAAGGGGACAATTAATGCAACCCGCAACAAAATAACCGAAATGCAGAAAACTTCGAAAAAGAATTGAAATCAGACTTGAAGTCAATTTTGAGTTCAAACCCACTTGCCATCAAAATGAGGCGGCAAAACTAACTATTTATCATTTGACTTTGAATTAAAAGGAAATAGCTTCTAAAAAACAGCATTTATTTCATAGACATTTGTTTAAACATTTAAGCTGTGATATTTTTTCTGGCGAATTTTGTCTTTATAACTAGTCAATTATGACGATTTTCTTTTCTGGTAACTTCTGACGCGTTTGAAAACTTCCAAATTGGGATAACTAACGCGCAATTAACGGAAGAACTAACGGGTAATTGATCCAGCACAGAAATTATTCTAAATTCAAGAGAGTTATGATAAATGTTGTAATTATTATATGCTTGGATCACAGATATATCGTTTTGTATTTCAAATGACGTGTGGCGGGATGATTTTCGATATCTATCATTTTTAATTTTTCAATTTTCGGAAGAAGTCATTTTTTGGCAGTCGGAAGACTCAAGGCGTCACCCTGATGCGAGCAGTCTTGTTTCTTTTCTCAAAATAAAATCGAGCTGAAATTATTTAGTTAGATTGAGATTGACAAATTATCCTAAGCAAAAAATTTGAAATCCAATTTGTAATATGTTCAGTTAGTCAGAAAAATTCTCAATATATCATAAACTAGTGCCCACTTACAAGAAATTTGTTCTTACAAGTGTAATTACACGACTAAAAATGAATGTATTTGAATCACCGAAGCAAAATTTCTGCCATTGAGAAAATCATGACCTTATTTGAGCCAATAGATGTTTCCTGGTCGCTTTCAAATTAAGTTTCCTGATACATCACAAAACAATTACTAGTTTAAGAAACCTTCCATAAATATCCTAGATCTTGATGTAATTATTCGCACAGACGACACTGCACTCTTATCCATCGCTCCATACTGCCTTGCTCTACTATGCATTATAAACACGCTTTTTATAAACACCAGGCTGCATTGATTAAAGGGACTACCGCCCATGCGCCTCAGACACAAGCCATGCTCTTCAAGTAACGCAAAAAAAGTTCCATAAAAGCTTTACAAGGCAACGCGAGAGTTATTTCGAAAAAATTTATCTGGTAATATAACACATCCTTGGCTGTGTTAAGAAAAACTGATAAAATTGTTCAATTTATTTCTGTTCAAAAAATAGCGCATTTTTTAAGTTATTTCATTCCGCTGAGCTTGATCTAGTTTTCCAACTCAAGAAATGACAAGACTGCTCGTATAAGGGCGAAGCCCTAAATGTTCCGACTGCACTTTAATTGGTTACGGATAATTTGGTAAATTAAATATTGGCAAAACTAAGATATTTAGGCTGATAATATCAAAAATTATGTGTTGCAATTTGAGTTGTGTATTGAGTTAATAAAACCAATTATCTGCCTCAATTCAAATTGTAACAAATTTGTAGTGCGGGAAACTAAAACAAGCAATTTAAGACATTTTCATCGCAAGTTTGCACACTCGGCTGGCCCCAAACTGATCAAGAGATCGATACCCGAGGGACCAGACTTTTGTAAAAAAAAAAAAGTTAGAATAAAAAACCGCCCGAGCAAATGTACTCTTTACTTTTTCCAAAAGTCGGGAAAAAAAATTCCCATATTCTGTATTCTGTTGATTTCCCATTATGAAATCTTAAAAATTGCTGAAAGTTTCCATGAGGAGGAACACAAATCATCGCATAAAACATATGTACAATTTCTACGAATCTGTGATACGTCTAAGAGTGTAAGACCTCTACGCGTCCGCGCTAAGTTCGATTGCAAATATGAGTCACCAATAAAGCAGATAGAACACATGTTTTTAAATTGCCAATACTATGCAGCCAATGTGCAAGCAAATGATCGTTTGTATTAGCCAATTGTTGGGGGAAAAATGGATTCTTTAAAAAAACAGCTCTCCATTAGTGCGGGATAACAAAACAAGCAGTTTAAGACATTTTCGTCGCAGGTGTGCACACTCGGCTGGCCCCAAACTGATCAAGAGATCGATACCCGAGGACCAGGCTTTTGAAAAAGTGGTTTGAATAAAAAACCGCCCCGAGCAGAAAATTTCTTTACTTTTTCTAAAAATCGGGAAATTAATTCCCAGATTCTGTATTCTTTTGATTTCTCCTTAAGAAATCTTAAGAATTGCTGAAAGCTTCCATGAGGAGGAACACAAATCGCATAAAACGTATGTAAGACTTCTACGAATCTGTGATACGTCTAGAAATGTAAGACCTCTACGCGTCTGCGCTAGGGCCGATTGCAAAAATGAGTCACCAATACAGCAGATAGAACAGATATTAAGTTGTCAATACTATGCAGCAAATGATCGTTTGTATTAGCCAATTGTTGGGGAAAAATAGATTCTTTAAAAAAACAGCTCTCCTTAAGGGAAAAATGGATTCTTAAAAAAAACAGCTCTCGCTTGCTTAGAGACTTATGTCGATTGTTCAGAAAGATTGATGTAATTATTCGAACGGAAGCTACTGCTTTTTTCTAATCCATTGCTCCATACCGCCTTGCTCCACTATGTATTAAATACACGCTTTTTTTTTATGAATACCAGGCCACTTTCATTAAATGGATACAACTCATGATCTTCAAATACCGCCGAAAATCTCTTCTAAATCAGAACAAAGCAACGCTCATTCGAAAAAAAGTTCTTGTCTTGCAAGTAAATATTGATATGCAGATTCAGGCTTGCTAACTAAAATTACAAAACAGTGGCTTCGCAGGATAAGACAAAACTACTATAATGATCCGTGTAATTAAAAAGACTAAGAAGTCTTGTCCAACAAGTAAGAACATTTAGAAGCTAAAACATTATTTTTCGACACATTGTAGTGAGAGGCTTGACGTTTATTTTTTTTTGCTAATTTTAACCTTAATAGTCTACTATTCTCAATTTTTGAAGCTAAATTATCAATTTCATTGATAGCACTTGAAAACGAAAACTTTAAGTTCTGCAATTGATGTACAAATAATAGAAACATGAACAAAAATCTAAACACATTTACAGTTTGCATCTTTTTCAAGCTGATCTGATTACTACGGCGATGACACTGCAACCATGCGGATCGTTCAGAAAAAATTTTAGGACAATTGCTCATTTCAAGAATTGAAAACATTTTCACAATCATTCTGAAGATGTCATCACTGAATAACAATACAAAAGGGTTTAACTCATATAAAAAACTGAAATTCACATAAAAGTATTAGCTTGAGCTTTTTCACTTTCCTAGGCTCGAGCGAGGGGCGCGAATTTCATCTCTTTAGCCATTTGGTAAGTGACGCAGCAGGGACAGCAGCAGGAGAAGATGAAGTCTTCGATCTCTTTCGACTCCTGTTCGTGTCCGAGTTGCTTCCTCAGCTTCTGTCGGATGAAGCAGAGGGCCGGTGCACTGAACATGGACATCCACATGAGCGAATCTACTATTCTCGGACACTCGTTGTCCTGAAAAACAACTCAAGAAAACTATCCAATTTAGAACGAAATCGCATATTTCACTTGGAATACAAATGCAAAAAAAACAGCAAATCATTGAAAACAATTGATAGATTTGAAAAGAACGGGTCCTTTATAAAGAACACGCATGATACACAGGTGCTTTCAAAAAGAAATGATTCAAGCTTAATAAGTCATGGCTTAAAATTGAGTTAAGCTATTTATTCATAAAGCGTGAAATCAATTTTGCTGATGTTGACCACAACGATAAAGGTTCTTTTAACATTTCGATTTCAAAACACAAATCTAATCTTGCGACCAAAAAATGGTAGCTGTCTAATCGAGACTGAGTGGGACTCACTTTGTACTTGAGAACGCCAGTGTAGTAGTTCTCTCCCTCCATCAACACCACCTCGGCTATCCTGCCGAACACGTAATTGGGAAACATGAACGACATCAGACAGAGAGTCTTGTCGGAGAAGCAGGAGAACACGCCAGTCTGGAAGTCAGCTCCATCGCCCATTGTCGCTGATACAGGTGTCGTCGACTGTTGTTACTACTATATTAACTGCTGCTACCTTCGTTGAGTTCTCTAACTCTATCTTCTCATCAAAATGCAATTGAACAGACGCAAGATAATGTACTACGAAATCAGCCCTCAATATAACACGATTATGATTCTATAAAAATCAGCTGTTCGTTTGAGGTGGTACAAAAACCAATAAGTATCAAAATTTGGCAAGCTAGAAAAGTATAATCAGCAGTCAGTGAAACTATGTTTAAGATTGATGGCTCGCGTTTAATGTAATTCTTAATAAGGCTTGCGTTATGAGGTAATTCAACTAAATATTAAAAAAGAGTGAATTTAATTGAGCAAAATTGAGAATATCTGCAATGAAAAGACACCAGAGCAAAACACAATGACAAAATGAGAGAAATCTTGTACTATTTTCGTTTTGTTTGGAACCATTGCCGTGCTTTATCAATTACTGTTGGCCAAAAAACTACACAGTGGTATGAAAAATAAGCTACTTGAAGAAACACGTGAAATAAAATCAATCAAACTTGACCAGATAATTTGATTCAAGTTTTGAACGATTATTTATAGCTGAATAAACACGAACATGTCTCGGCTCTATACTCAAATAATCTCTTTTCACTTATCACCACGGCGCTGTATGATCATAATTAAACAGGGTGTGTCGCATAGAATTAAAACTTTTAAAAAAATCGCCTTTATTTAGTGCAATTAATCTTAAAAAATAAATATTTACAAGCCATTTATATGACTCCGTTGTCAAAAAATGATTTGCCCCAATTTGGTTGCATACAATTCGCGGAAAGAGTACTCGAGATTACGAGATATGAATACGAGATTTTCCAATTAAACGACAATCTTTTTGACGTCAAAATTACCTCAAGAGCCACTGCTTAACAAAATATAATTATTGCATAGATACGTACGACCAATGCGACCAAAAGTTCAGAGCTAATACAGAACCATCGAACAGTAGTATTTATACTTCATGCCGGCCGCATGGCATGATTTACGAGCTCTCAAAACAAAATGAGCATATAACTAGAACCCTGTTGCAAGATGCCAAAACGAGAGCTTTTACACTATATTCAACTGGATTTAAGATTTTACACTATATTCAATTGGATTTAAGGTTCTACACTATATTCAATTGAAATTAAGGTTCTACACTATATTCAATTGGATTTAAGATTTCGCACTATATTCAATTGGATTTTTCTAACTTTTTTTAAAAATGTCTGTTTTTAAAAACCTGTAGAAAGTTATAAGGACAACGTAATTGATGTTTTCGAAAGGCTGTGAATTTATTTATCTCTTTTGTAATCAATCAATAGTAGGTGGCACATCCAAAGTTTCCGAAACGGTTGCTGCGAAACTGGTGTGACAGGTTTTTATGATTTTGATTTGTAATTCTGCTTTTTCAAATCATTTCAAAACTATTTGTTTTTCTCATATTTTATGCGTCTCCTGAGATAATATGATAAATAAGATTGGCTATGATAACTAAGTTAACCTAAGGTTAGTGGACCCCCGTTCCCTCAGAAATGCGAACCACTGACAACCCTAAGGTTCCCGCTTTCACCCTGTATAAAGACATCAATTGGCTCTTTTCCACTCCCCCCTCACATTTGAATTCATTTTGAATCACCATCTCAACAATTTCATAACGTAATGAAACTTTGCCTGTTTAACGAACTAACTATTGTGAACAGAATTTTTTTTCATTTTTACATCGTAATATTACGCAGTCTGTCATCAAAATACGTAAGAAAACTTGAAATGTACGGGAGAAACTGGAAAAGAACCCATCAATTTTTAGCTGAGGGACCCTAAAACTTGTGTCACCATACATTTGGCACCACCATATACTATTTTTGATGGGGGAGCATGCGACAAACAAGGGAATTTGTCTCCTGCGATGATATAACTAACGTACAAAGACTACGTATGGAATTTCATGACTCAAACTGACCGTCTATCCGATCCGTATGATCGTGGACCCGATGAACAGAACTCGACCTTCACACTCTGACCATCTACATGAATACCTAAAATCAATATCATAAATTAAAGTCAAGCACACATACAGAAAAAAAACCTTTTAATTAGCTCGGAAGCCTTTCGTTGATATATTTAGGTTTGCAAAAAGCAAACAAAATAAAACATCATCAAGCAAACATTCAATAAAAAGTACCAATTAATAACTAAATTAATGAATCAGTTACGATGAAGGTAGTCTAAGCTATCCATTGCGGGTAGAAAATTGAGTTCAAATATCGAAAACTTGGAATTAAAAACAAAGTCAACATTGAAAATGAATAGTATTTGGGAGCGTACTTTTCAACACTTGCAGAAGTGTCTCTTCGTCCCTCCCCTGTCTGTCTTCGATGTCCACGAATGCATAGCCAGTGCCCATCTTCACCACCCGAGAGGAGAAGTGGTAACTGTCCAACACTATCTTCACGTGGAAGTCCCGAGTGTGTCTCGGCAACTGGCCCATGAAGATACGTCTAGTGTTCAACCCGTTCATTGCTACCGACAATATTCTAGTTCTCCACCACCTAGTCCAGTAGCTTATCAGTTATTGCACTGTAGGAAAAAGCTAGCGGTACTACACGTGGCAAGGATGACATTTAACAATTCCTCGCCCAATCATTGATCTCACTGAAAAAATTGACAATTTTTGTTCAGATTTTCGAACAGCAGGCGCTATGTGAACGAAACTAAATGAAATTACTACAAATGATAACGGAAAGACAGATAATGCTAAATTTACCAAAAAGATAACTAGTTTTGTTGGCAAAAAGAACAGCGACTCTTTCACCCAAAATAATTTTTTGACAATTGAAACGTGAAACACCAATGCCAGCATTAAACTAGCATTCAGGCAAAATGTGTCTAGATAGTTGAACGGGAAACGAAATTACTGTCACGAAAAATTGGCATAAAGCTTTAGGACTCAAAGTTTTTACATCGCCTCACCTTGAAGAACACACCCAACTAAAATTCTATTATAACCCTCCAATTAACGCTATATGATGCGCCTATGCCAATGTAGCATCAAAACAAAAAAGCCGAATAATTGCTTTCAGCGAAACGGCCCGAAACTATTAAAGCCGAATAGACGTTTTCAACGAAATGGGATAAAACAGGAAATTATACATAAAAGGATTAAATCAAAAGGACTACCCATTTTATCAATCATAACTAGATTATGCAGAAAGTTCATGCTGCAGAAAATCAGCCGAAAAAACCTAATCAGACAGTTAGCAGAACAACAATTGAATTTTTCCGTGAAAACACTGCAATTTCAAGAGTACTAATACAATACTGTGAAGTACTGCAACAGCAACCAGTATTTTAACTTGAATCTTCAAGAAGTTGGGCATGTGAGCACTTTCATGTAGCGCATGTGCTGTTACCAATGATTCAGATGATTTAGCTCTATATGTTGTTAACCTGGAAAAATCTGCATTCCGATTTGATAACGCTTAATTACCGCCAGCGTTAAAATAAACTCAAAAATATAGGTTCCCTTTGGTTTCATAACAAAACTAAAAAAGAACAGTTTGCTGCCTGATTTGCTTTGATAACAACGTGTGATTTGCTGAATCTCCTATAATCCTTAGGAAAAAAGGAAACTTAATCTGAAAATTTTTCACAAAAGTGAGTGAATACTAGCCCCCTAACTTGCTATTATACAAGAAAAAACCATATTTATACAGCAAGATAGATAGCCGATTGCTGGACAAGAAGCTTCGAATGCTCCGAAAACAATGATTCAGGTGACAAAATGCCGTTGTTTTTTAAAGGTCGTAAAATTGGTCAATTGCTTAAAAACTGCAAGAACTAGAGGCAATACATGTAATATTAGAAAAATTACTAGTAATGTTACTAAAAAAACGTAGATCAACACAGCGTCGTAGCTGTGCTTCGCAAAACCTAGTGGGAAAAAAAGTGAAATAAAAAAGTATAAATCCGCCTCAAAGTAGTAGGACGTTTGCTACGCCAGGGATTCGAATGAGCAACCTTGGGATTGAAAATCACACAAACTACCCACTCAGCCACGGACGCTTGACGATAGACAAACACTAGCCACCATTAGAGCAGAGAACAGAAGGTGTGAAAAATCCAAGGATACAGATTCTGATTATAGCATAAATGCCACCAAATCAGCACTTTTATTTGCAAGTTATGTTGAAAAAAAGTAGATTCATACTAATACACTAAGCACGGTAGTATTTAAAAAAATTTCAGACCTCTTTTTCTCGACGGGAGGATATTTTTTTTCGAAACAAGGACCAAGAGCGGTGAAAACTGATTCAATATGAAATCACCTTTGACAAGTTTGAGCCCAAAAACGGATCATTTTTAGCTTTTTTACAAAAATTTTACACAAACCTAATTACCAGTTAAATTGCTGACAAAACTATATCAAAGGCAGCCGCTTATGAAGCCCAACAACGTTTAAGAAGGGTATAGCCCTCTTAATCTTGCATTCATTCCTTTGTTTTTTACAGCCAAAAAATGTCATTTTAACTATATGAATTACCAAAATTTTATTCAAAATCAAGTTTCAAATATTTGCACAAATGTTTGGAGACTCTCTTAAATTTCTATAGGATTCGTAAGTACCTCATTTTGATATGGTTTTTTAGCAATTCAACAGATAGCTTTCTCGTATTTTTTGATTGAACTCTGCTAAAGCTGTAAGCAAATTTCGTCTGTTTTTTTTGTAACCAACTTTTGAAAAACGTAATTCTAATTTCAATTTTAATTCTCTTTGTCCGGATAACGATATAATGACTTGGTGTGTAATCGTACTGCTTTTTAGCTTAAATTACTTTTCTGACATTTTTTTGAGAGGTGAGAGGGGTAGCTACGCGCTCATTTGTCAATCAAAAGTTCAGAAGTTGAGTCCCACCATGGTCCGTTCTCGCTGCTTGAAGATGAGCTAACATTACCCAGACAGAAAATTAACCAAACAGTTACATGTGATTCTGAACCAGAGGCCAAAACAGCTTATTATCTCGCTTGTTGGTGCTTTCCCTCATGAATAAATTGTTTCATCTGTGTTCCGTGAAAATTGATTTAAAAAATGAACAGAATAAAAACTATTATTTTGTGTCTTTCGAAATCATGAATTTCAGGGGACCGGTCAATTAGCATGTGTATCAATTAGTAAGCCCACAAAAAATGTAGTTCGAAGATTTGCTTCTACAAAATTTGTTTATTCAAGTTTGCAATTTTGAACAGCGCGCACCCAGTCGAATTTTTAACGAAGGCATATTGTTGAAGGCATTTGTATCGGATGATGCTCATAAATAGACTTTGAAATCATAGGGATACAATTTACGGGCGGCAAAAAAGCCACGAACTTTGAGTCGGCCCCTGTTGAGCCGAAAACAAAACTTTTGACCTAAAAAATTTCGGGTTATGAGAAAACTACGACTAAAACCACAAACTCGAAAAAAAAAATTTCAAGAAATGTCTTCGAAAAAATAATTACTACCTGAAGGAACTTAACCTTAGGGTCTGCGAAAAAATAATTACTACCTGAAAGAACTTAAATTTTATTTAAATTTTCAAGAAATTTAGCTTGTCAGCAGTCGTGAAATTTGCCACTCCTATTAAAAAGCACCTTTCCCTTTCTGTGAACAAAGTTGTTTACGGCAAAAAAGCTAGTATTACCCAGTTGCAATACCCTTGCTGATGGAATGGGTAATAGGCGAAAACAAAATTTTGGGTCCCCTTACAAATCAAGTATTTTTCGTAAGCTTTTGAAATTCTAGGCTAAATTGGTTTTCGTTTGAAAACGCACGCAAATCACATGCTAATATGCACACATGCTAATCGCTACATCCCTGTAATTTTATCTCATCATATTTATTCTCAACCGCTATAAGCATTTAAAAAAATATCCACCAACTATCACTGTCAGCAAATTTTTTGACAAAAAAAAACAAATTTGATAGCTGGTTTGTTGAAAATGAAACAAGCTTTAATGCACCTTGATTTTGTCGTTTGTCGTACAATTTTACATAAAACGGTTCTACTCAGTTTTTCATCAAACAAAACTATTTGCATAAACTTAAATTAGACGCACACAGGAGGCTTCCATTAAAAGTTGTTTGTGCTCTTCCTTACAGTCGAACTTTCAAGATAACATGAGCATTAATGGCTTTTCTCAAAATTGGCAAAGCCCGCTGAGCAGAAAAAAGGCGAAAGTCCGCTAAATTAGAAGCAAATTTACATCATCCAGAAAGGATAAGAAAAACATAATAAAAATGCATTATTAGATGAAATCTGGCGCAACAATTTAATCAGTTTTTTCTAAAACAGCTTTATTGACCATAAAAGATTATCCGCAGGACTAGGGCCGTTTTTCTGTTGAACATTTTCCGCAAAATTTGTCTACTTGCATAGTAAAAAGAATTGAGCTAGAACATCAGCTCTTACATAGTTTAACAGACACTCAAAAATTATTTTCGTAAGCTTTCGAAATTCTAGGCTAAATTGGTTTTCGTTTGAAAGCGCGCGCAAATCACATGCTAATATGCACACATGCTAATCGCTACACCCCCGTAATTTTATCTATCATATTTATTCTCAACCGAATAGACACTCAAAAATGTAGAAGTAGATAAAATCTGAACAAACCAAATTTTCACACGTTTTTCTCGAATGATGTCCAAAAACCACTATTAAATTATTTGAGATCATTTTCGAGCAGCAACTAAGGCGACAAATTTTGGATCGATTACCGTTGAGCCGAAAATCTTTAATTTTTTTCAACCTATCCTTCTTAAAACACATTAAAGCATTATAGAATTTTGCACTCAAAACAACGAGACACAAGTTGACTAAACCGATATAAGATTAGCCGAAACTGTTTCATCGCAACAAGTATTCAAAATCAAAGTTGGTAAATCTACAAATTACCGAGCTATCCAGTATAGTAAAAACAGTTTGAATCAAAATAAACGCCAATGCTTTGGAAAAAAAGCCAAAAAAACCGTCTCAAAAATATGACGACTAACTAAAAAAAACTTAAAATGAGCCAGCGGAAAATAGAACGAAAAAAAAACGAATCCGGAAAAATAATATGGATAATGATAGAAAAATTAATTACTGTCTAAAATAAATTCCACCTATATGCTAACTAAAGGAGGGTAGTTTGATTTGATGTTTCAAGAATTTTTGCAAAAGCGGAGCTCGGCGATACAAAATGTCTACCAATTTCAACACTAAAAAATGAAGATTAACAAAAGTTCAAACCAGTGAAAACAGGAAAAAAGATATTAGAACTTAGCTTTCATTACCAAAACTGTTTGAAAAATTTTAAACAGGTGAAGCTGCGATTCGCAAACACAAGCGAGGAAAATAGCTCAAAACAGGCAAAACAAAGTGAAATAAAGAAAAGAATAAAAAGACCATGAACTTTTTTGAGATTAGGAGTATCAGTTTCTCACATCTGGTAAACGGCCACTTGTATACTTACTAACACTAGCCACCAATAAAGCAGCTACAGTTTCTATCAGATTACAATGTTATGCAGCAAAAATTCGACCAAAAAAAACTATTTAAATGTTCCGGATTTGAATTTCCGACCTCTTGATTAGGAGTATTAGGTCCTCGCATCTTCGCCACGGTTGCTTGG